AAAAAAAAAAAGGTGGTTATGGAAGTCAATAAATAAGTGTCAAAATTTGAATTGCCACCTTTAATCGAACGCTACCAACAGTCGTCTAAAGTTTGTGTCTGCTCTGGCACCCGTATGCCGTTGCATCTCATTCTCTCCACATTGGCTTTATGCCTGGTGTGGGCATCTTGCGAACTTAAATAAGCTGTTTATGCTAAATCACTTGATGGTTGTAGGCAACGGTTTGCATCGTTTGCCTGTTGCCCTGCTGGGTCAGCTGGTGCCTGGGCCTTTTTTCCTAGGGCCCATATCCATTGGTTCACAACTTACCGCGTTGCGAAGATCTTCATTGCAGTGATTTTCCGCTTTCGGGAAGTCAGCTCCTCCTTTCGGGCTATGAAGTCGCGTAGTGGTTCCCATTTTAGATCTCTGTAAATCTGGCTGTTGCGTACGAGCCAAGGCGCGTCAACTGCCATTTGTAGAATTTTGTTTTCCGTAGCTTGTAGTCTTTTTAAGTGGAATTCGCTCGCGACGTAGAGCCATACGCCAATGCGGGCCTGATAATTGTTTTGATCAGCAGGAGCTTGTACCTAATGCTCACATGACTTTGGGGTTGAGGAGTGGGTAGAGCTTGCTGGTTACAGCTTTGGCCTTATTGATAGATGTTTGAACCTGCTTCCTCCAGGTAAGCTGCTTATCCAAGATGATGCCTAGGTACTTCGCCTCTTGTTTCCACTCGACGTCCACCTCATCGATGTTGATATTTCCATCAACGCTGTCTCGCCTGCTACCAATGAGGAGGGCTTGACTTTTGCCTGGGTGAATTTTTACCTTCCACTTAGTAAATCACTCGTGTAGTTCATCAACTGCGAGCTGAAGTCTCCGCCTTACGCATTCCTTGCTCCTTGATGCCGCAAGGAGGGCTGTGTCATCGGCAAAGAGTGCCAGCGTCGTATTAGTAGTCCGAGGGATATCGCTGGTAAAGACATTGGAGAGCATTGGAGAGAGTACTGCCCCTGCGAGACACCTGCTTTCGTGCTCCTACTAGTCGACCTGCTTCCTTCAGTTTGGACGCTAAAGGTTCTTCCGCGAACAAAATCATCAACTAATTGGCGCATATTAACACTGATACTATTTGTCCGTAGCTTGTAGACCAGCCCGTCATGCCAGACTCTGTCAAAGGCCCTTTCGACGTCCAGCATCAGGATTCCAGTGGACTTCCTCTGGTTCATTTCCCTGGAACATATTTCCACAATCCTGAGCAGTTGCAGTTCAGTGGAGTGCTTCGCTCTGAACCCGAACTGCTCCGGTGGTATCACATCAAGTTCGTCTGCTTCGTCCCGCAGTCTTCGTAAGATAGGTCATTCAGCGATCGTACTAATGGCTGGGAGCAGACTGATCGGCCGGTAGTTTTGGGGACAGCTCTTGTTTTTGCCTGCTATGGGTAGCATGATAACTTGCTTCCAGATGCTCGGGAAATGCCCTTTCCTAAAAATAGCGTTGATTATGTTGGTAATTGAGGCTATTCCTTTCGACGAATGATGTTTTAACATCTTGTTGCTGATGCCATCTCTTCCTGGGGCTTTCTTAGTCTTGGCACTCCGGATGATTGTCGCTACTTCCCCGGGGAGGTAGGGCAGATTCTGCTGCCGGCTATTACGATCCGAAAGCCTTCGGACTGCTCGCCTCACGGTTGTTTCGTGGAGGCGGTCGTCATTTGGGTGTGTGTTCACTCTTGTTTCGCGCTCGATAGTATCCGCGAGAACATCAGCTTTAGCATAGAAACGGTGTATAATGAAGCCATTAAGCAAATACGAAAATGAATTGATAGCAATTACATTTAGTTTGCAGTTGCTGAAACAACGTACGTTTGTGACTGATACATCGCAAATTTAATGTTGGTAGTGATGCGTGAAAAAAAAACCGAGAAAGGGATATCTGATATGATATGAACACTAACACTGTTTGTAGATTTATCCATGAATCAATAGCAAATTTTTATTTACCCAATGCGGTTCCCAACGACAAGATTTTGCTCATGCTTTCCGACGCTGCTGCCTACATGATTAAAACTTCTTCAAACTTGAGAGTATTTTATCTTAACATGATCCATTGTACATGCTTAGCACCTGGACTAAATAGAGGTGCTGAAACTATAAGGCAACAGTATCCTCTGGTTAATGAGGTTATAAAAAACGGCAAAAAGATATTTCTCAAAGCACCTTTGCGAATACAACTATTTAAAGAGAGATTTCCTATCACTCCTTTACCACAAGAGCCAGTTTTAACAAGATGGGGTACTTGGCTGGAAGCTGCATTATATTATGCCAATAATTTTTCAAATTTTGAAGAACTTGTTGAATATCTACAACCCGAAACAAGTAAATCAATAAAAGACTGTAAAGAAGTATTAAAAAACGATAAATCACAAGGGAAGTTGACGTTTATAAAAAACAATTTGGAATTTGTTAGCAAGGCAATAAAGCGTATTGAAACCCAATGGCTAAGTTTAATAGATTCCACGAAAATCATTGCGGACTTTACACAATCCGTTAGTCTGGTTCCAGGCACAAACGGAGAAATAACACAAAAAAAGTTAATGAATATTTTCACTAAAAATAAAGGGTTTCAAAAACTAAAAATTATAGCCTCTGTGTTATCTGGGACAGTTGATTGCAACTCTATTGCAGATCCAGCTCTCACGCCAAAATATAAATATGCACCGATTACTAGTGTTGATGTCGAAAGAAGTTTTTCAACCTTTAAATCGATTCTAAGTACCTATGCTATGTGTTCTGTTTTTTGTAAATATTATTATGTATTGTTTCTAAATGTTATTAAATGTTTAAAAAATATATATTTTTTGTTGTAGTTTGGTAAATATAGTACATATATGATTTATTAGTGATGTTGGTGTACTATAATATGACAGTAGAGAAGTTAAAAACTGATTACTAAGTAATTAGCTAACCCAAACGAACCCAAACTAAGTTCGTGTTCTCAAATTCTTTTTTGTATTTTAATTCTTTCAGGGGAGAGAAATACCGCTTCTTTTAACTAATAATACAGGGCAACATTGAAGGGCGACGAGCACCGGGACGAAGACGGACATATACATATTTCTATGGGCATGAACAGGGACTGAGAACGTCCCAAAAATAATATAATTTAGAAATGCGATTGAATGAAATTTATGATTGAAATTTAGATTGCGAAAATGCAGGACATCAAAGTTCCTATTTGAATTTCAAATTTATTTTTTATTTTATTTATTATTTTTGGTGGTGGAAATATCGAGTTTAAGGCTAGTTTTAGGAAATTAGGTTATATCGGAATCATGGGTAGCGTATTCCCTAGACCCGTTGTTTTTCAAGTAAAAACGATATCTGTTTGATGTAGATAAACCTGTTCTTTTTTGAAATATTGTCGAAAATTTCTTTAAGCTTTTAGATATCATTCTATGATCCTTTCTGTTGAAAGGTCTAAACATATAACACCATCTATCAAAATTTGAAATGAAAGTGACGTAGTTTAGCTAGAACAATATCAAGGGATTATTGTCAAGTGATCAACAAGTGTCGCCTACGTTGCGTTTTACACTTTAGCACAACAAAACTGAAAATCAGCTTAGAAATTGCGGTTTGTGCTTAAGAATTGCAATTTTTGTTGCGATATTTAAATAAATAATAAAAATAAAATTGTGTTCAAAAGCCTAATGAGTTTCAATCGAACCTTTCGTCGGAGTCGACATGTCCGCAAGTGCGCCGAAGGAAAATGCGATAAGCGAAATAAATATAATTCCACGCGAGGTGATATCGGCGGTAAAAACCGTTAAAATATCGTGAAAATGTGCGACCAAATAAAGGCAATGGAAACGCGCTAGGGCGAGATAAATAAAACTGATGGACTTTTGCCATCATCAAACCGGAGTGAACAAATTCTCTGAATTCAGCAGAATGAACTGAAGAACGCAGAAAAGGTCAGCATCTGCTTGTGGAGACAAATAGCTAATATAAACAAAAAATCGAATAATCCTTATAGCCCGAAAGGACGAAGAAGAAGATATACGCAACCGAGAGACAGCTTGGCTATTACCTGAAAACTGTAAAAAAAAGAAAAGCGTCATCACCTCTACAACCAAAACAAAGTCCCATTGAAACGGAACAAATTATACAGGCGAAAACTCAAAGGCCACCGCCGGTGGCTGTTAGTAATATTGTAGACTACAACAAAATCAAAAGCCAACTGAACAGTAAAAATTTAAAATTCTTCTTCTTCTTTGTAAAGACCCTTTGGTCTGTTTATTGCGTCTGGTCAATGTTGTTGATTCTCCTGTGATATGGATGTCCAACTGTCCTTCCATCTTTTCGGTGGTCTTCCGATGGGTCTTTTACCAGCCGGATTTTTATTCGACACAATCTTGACTATCCTTTTGGGGTACATTCTTTCCACATGGTCCCGTCAGCATCTTCTGCGCTTTCGTCCCCATCTGATTACATCCTCCACCTTGCAGGTCTGTCTTATTGTCGCGCTCCTCACTCTATCCCGTAGTGTTTTTCCCGCTATTGCCTTTAGAGTCTTTATCTCTGCCGTTCTTAACTTACATTTTGTTTTGTTTGTGTCTGCTCGGGTCTCGATGCCGTAGGTGAGTATTGATCTTACGCATGTTTTGTATATTCGAACTTTACTGTCGATGCTCATATGTTTGCTGTTCCATATGACGACTCTGAAGCAACCGGATGTTAAGGAGGCTTTGTTGATCTGGGATTGGAGATCTTCAATTGGTTCGTTGTGGCTAGAAATGTCCGCTCCAAGGTATCTGAAAGTTGTGCCTTACCCGACAATTTCATTCTTTATAACCCGCTTACAACAGTGCGCTTGGTTGGTCACATTGGTTCCCTGGCATATGTCATACATTTTGTCGTGAATTTTGATATTTGCATATTAAATTGTGTGCTGACCGGATTGAATCTGTGAAGTTGTCTTTGCAAATTGTCCTCCGTTTCTGCCAATATTGTCGCGTCATCAGTGGAGCAAATATTGCTAATGATCCCTTATGATCAATTTTAATTCGGGTTGAATTGCCTGTGATTAGGCAGTAAACTGTTTTTATAATTCTTGCCGGCGTTCATTTTTTCTTCAAGAAAATAAAATTAAAATTCAATGTCGCATTACTGAATAACAAACAAACAACAGAGACCGATCAGAGTAATGCTTAAAAATCTTTACCCGTCGTGTAGCACTGAAGAACAATTGCAACAGTTGAAATAAGAAGGCTTTAAAGCAATCAGTGTTATAAATAAACTAATGAGATTCGCCAGGAACCAGAAGATAGAATATATCAAGTTCCCATTGTTTATGGCAACTTTTGAAAATACTTAAGACGTCAAAAAAGTGTTTGACACATAATATCTAACCAACTCGAAAATCATTGTGGAATCAGTCAAAACAGCACAACTGATTCCACAATGCAAAAAGTGCCAAAGATTTGGACACACGCAAAAGTATTGCAATAGATTACCAGTGTGTGTCAAATGTGCTAGGAATCATCTTACTGCGTCATGTGCTAAACCCAAAATCATTCCAGCTAAGTGCTCCAACTGCAGTGAAGCGCACCCAGCTAACTATCGAGGATGTTGCCAAAGCATTACCACAGAGAAGAGATCAAGGTGAAAGACTATCGCTGAAGAATGAAGCAATAACTGGTGGCCCCCTAAGTATAGAGTAGACGAACAGAATTAATACTCTTTCCTATGCTGAAACTGTTAGGAAAAATAAAAATCCGCAACCCGCCCAACAAGCATGGAACCTAATTGAAAGAAACTCTGTGCAAGACGTGATGGAGCGAATGTTAAATACTGTTACGTTTCCCGGGGTTCGAATGATTCCAGTAAACCAATAAAAAAGCACAACAATTTACTGAACTCCCAAATACTAAGTATAACAATCACTAACTCAAAACTATAGCTCGCGAATCGAACACACTCTGTATATCGCTTTAAGTATTTCACTGTATAGCTGTCTGATTAACTAACTGACTCCGGTCGCCTTGCCGGGATTCCGCCTTCGGGATTTCCATAGCCCAATCGACTATTGCCGTTCGTTCTCGAAGTATCGAGCTAGGCGTCCCGAAAACGCTGGAAGCTGCGTTGCCGCTGTGCGCTAAAAATCAAGCCGCAACAATACGTTGAATAAATATTAATGAGACACTCAACATTTTGAAAGCAAACGGAGCTATTCTGAAAAGAAATAAATACTGAATACAAAAAATTAACAATTGTTACCTGGAACGCTAATGGCATAATTAGTAAAAAAGCTGAACTAGAAGTATTTCGGCATAGTCAACACATTTATGTGTGCTTAGTCTCAGAAACACATCTCACAAAGCAATCATATGTTAAAATAGACGGTTACAAATGCTATCATTCCATCCATCCCGACAACCAAGCCAAGGAAGGAAGTGCCATTTTCTACAAACTCAGTAAAATGTTACCCCAACCATACGTAAAAATGTTTGCTTCATATATCACTAACAGACTATTCAGAATCAAACAAAAAGGAGTTTACTCAGAGTTGCAGGAAATCCGAGCGAGTGTGCCACAAGGAAGCGTCTTAGGTAGACCTGGGAAATTTAGTTCATTTTGCTGATTTCCATCTTTCAATCTCGGCCAGCAAAGTGAATAGTACAAAGGATTAGTTCGTTTAGTTCATTTAGTTCAGTAGGTTAATTTCCATCATTGAACGAATGAAAAAAATATTATAAATAAACGGTCAATTTAACTGTAGTTATAGTCCCAAGACGTTAAAATTGACATTTTTTATACCATGTGTTCTATTGCTCGTGCTCGGGATTTATTGTCCATTTATTTCTCTTTCTGTTATTAGAGATTGGAGGCGTTTTTGATTTACATAATTTAACTGACTGTATCTTGTTTGAGATTCTCTAATATAAACATCTGCGTGTGAGACATTTTTGAGCAGTAATCTTGGTCATATTGTTTTGTTGACCAATCAAAACCGTCCGATTTTTTTTCCGCTTTCACATGTTCCTAATATAGAATCCGGGCCCAAATCAGTTAGAACCAATTAAATCGCGTGCATTGTCGCTTGATATTATGCTTCATTATAAAATAAACGAAGATAGAACATATCTGAGACTATGCGAACAACAAGGATCATCTATTTTCATCACTAGATATGAACTGCGAAGTGGAACTAAAGCGAAGCGCTATTGGTTCAATCACTTAAATCGGCGTCATCGGTCTCGTTCTCCTTCAAGACGTTCTGTTTAGTTCCTACCATAGATTAACTAAGTATAGATAGAGCGATTCATTCATAAACGACCGAATATATTCTGACAACATATATTTTGCCCCACCGTTTGAAGATGTGGGCATGGGACGGAAGACGGGAAAGAG